TGAGGTGAGAAGAAAGGGAAAGAGTAGAACAAGAGTTTTGGTCTGTCATCTGACTGTGAGTTAATGCAGTGCGATACGTCACTACCTCACGCCAGCCTCTGGAGGCACCTTCTGAGCACGGTCTGCTTCTCTTCAACTCCGGCACAGAGCGGTGCATCTTGTTGGATCAGATGGAATGATGAGGTCTTCAGCTGCCCTATGTTTGAACATTGGGTTTTATGTGCCAGGGCCCCTGCCACAACTTCCACACCAATTGGCAGCTCTTTTCGAGCGTACTGTGCAGCTCTCCGGCGCCAACAGCCAACTGTCGAGCTGGCCCTTCTGGCTTTGGTTGTGCCTCCTGGCCTTGTTCCCATGCTGCTTTTGCGCTGTGGTGATGGGTCGTGTTTCGTGTTCGTGGTGGTTTGTGTGGTTGTGTAAATTAACATAACATAAAATTTACCCCACCTGTTGTAGCTTTTTTTTTTGACGGCGGATTTGGCGACTTTGTGTTGGCCAGGCTGGAGCGCAGTGCCGATGCTCGGCCTCACCACAAACCCTTTCGCCTCCCACGTTCAAGCAATTCTCCTGCCTCAGCCTCCCTAGTTAGCTTGGGGGGATTATGAGGCGAGTTTGGCACAGGCCCAGAGACGGGGGTTTCTCCAGTTGGTTTCAGGGCTGGTCTTCGAGGCTCCCGACCTCAGGTGATCCACTCCGTCGCCTCCACAGTGCTGGCATTACCGCGTGAGCCTGCGCCCGGCCTAGCATTTTTTTTTTTTTTTTTCGAGACGAGGGTCTCACTCTTGTTTGGCCCAGGTGGCTAGAGGCAATGGCGTGGGGGTCTCCGCTCACTGCAACCTCCACTCCTGGGTTCAGGCGATTCCTTCCTGCCTCAGCCTCGAGTAGCTGGGATTACAGGCATGCACCGCACTCCTGGTGCTAATTTTTTTTTTTTTTTTTTTGTTTCTTGGAGGACAGAGTTTGCCTCTGTAACCAGGCTGGAGTGCAGGTGCCGATCTCGGCTGACTGCAAGCTCCGCCTCCCGGGTTTACGCCTTCTCCTGCCCTCAGGCCTCCCAGTAGCTGGATTCAGGGCGTTCGCCGCCGCGCCTGTAAGGTTTTGTATTGTAGTATGAGATGGGGTTTCACTGTGTTAGCCGGGATCGTTTTCTCGATGCGTCCGGTGACGGTGTGATCGGGTGCGCGGCTGGCAAGGAGTGCTGATTCAGGGCGTGGCCCACGCGGGCGTGCTGCCTAAATTTTTGGTATTTTTAATAGGGACAGTTCACCGATGCTTGGCCAGGTTGGTCCGTGAATGGACCTCAGGCGATCCACCACTTCAGCGCTCCAACGTGGCTCGGCAATTCAGTGTTGAGCAACCGGGGCTGCTCGTCTCATTTTTTTTGTTTGTTTTTTGGAGACAGAGTCTTGCTCTGTCACCCTAGCTGGAGTGCAATGGCGCCATCTCGGCTCGCTGCAACCTCCGCATCCCGGGTTTAAGCGATTCTCTTGCCTCAGCCTCCCAAGTAGCTGGGATTACAGGCCCAGACCACCACGCCCAGTTAATTATTGTATTTTTAGTAGATACGGGGTTTGACCATGTTGGTCAAGCTGGTCTCAAACTCCTGACCTCGTGATCCAGCTGCCTCAGCCTCCCAAAGTGCTGGGATTACCGGGTGCCCTGTGGTGCCAGAGAACCCCATTTGACACTCTTTAACTGTACTCCCTCAGGCAAGTTATTTAACTTCTCTGTGCCTGGCCTGTCTTCTCTTCTTAAAAGCAAAAAAAAAAAAGCCAGGCATGGTGGTTCCATCCTGTAATCCCAGGCACTTGGAAGGCTGAAGTGGGCAGATCACCTGTGAGTCAGAAGTTCAAGGGGCAGCCTGGTCCAACATGGTAAACCCCATCTCTATTACAGATACAAAAATGAGCTGGCATGGGCGCCATATCTGTAATCCAGCTACTTGGAGCTGAGGCAGGAGAATCGCTTGAACTGGAGGCAGAGGTGCAGTAAGCCAAGATCACACCCATTGCACTCTAGCCTGGGCAACGAGAGTAAAACTCTGTCTCAAAATAAATAAATAAATTAATAAGGCCAGCCAGGTGGCTCATGCCTGTAATCCTAGCACTTGGAGGGTGAGGTGGGCAGATCATGAGGTCAGGAGGCCGAGGCGGGCAGATCACGAGGTCAGCAAATGAGACAATCCTGGCTTAACATGTCAAACCCCGTCTCTACTAAAAAAAAAATCAAAAAATTAGCCGGGCATGGTGCGGCGGCGCCTGTAGTCCAGCTACTTAGGAGGTTGGGAAGGAGAAATGGCAATGAATCCGGAGGCAGAGGTTGCAGTGAGCCGACATCACGCATTGCACTCAGCCTGAGCGACAGAGCACAGACTCTATCTCAAAATAAATAAATAAGATAAATAATAAAATAATAAAACACGAAACAAAACAACAAAGGTGGCTGTGGGGGCGGTGGCTCACTCCTGTAATCCCAGCACTTTGGGAGTCCAACGTAGGTGATATCTTGAGCTCTGTAGTTTAGACCAGCCTGGCAAGATGGGAAATACCATTCTACTAAAAACACAAAAAATTAGCCAGGCGTGTGGTGCTCGTCTATAATCCCGACTACTCGGGAGGCCGAGGGACGACAATCACTTGAACTGGGATGTGAGGTTGCTGTGAGCCAACATCGACTACTGCACTCCAGCCTGGTAACAGAGTAGGACTCTGTCTCAAAAAAAAAAAAAAAAAAAAAAAAAAATTGGGTGCTCCCCAAGGAGGATGGCACGGTCATCAGAGAAACAAGCAACAGCACCGGGTGGAGGCTGAGATAGGAGCATGGGGAGCCCAGCCTCCACCTCCCACTCCCAGGCCAAGTGTGTGCCGGGCAGCAGCAGGCTTACCTGCAATCCAGTCATAGCCCAGGTATGGCCTGAGGGCGCCAGCTCCTCTCAGGAACTGCAGACTCCTCAGAGAAGGTCACCTGGGCTGAGGAGGGAAGCACAGAGGGCAAGGACTAAAGCCAGGAGGCCTGGCCCAG